ATATCTATTTAAATACTAATTGAAAAATTAACAAACTTCAAATTACTATTTTAATATTTATAGTCTGTAGGTTAAAACATATCATTATACTATTACAATAACTAGGTAGCTTAAATAATATATTAATACTAATATTAATTATATAAATAAAAATAATAATCCCCTTCCCAAAAACCACCAACATTTTAATTAACATTCAATGCAATTAGACTTGTCAACATTTAAATAAATCACTAATACTGATCACCTACCAACAGCAAAACTTGAGCATAAGTTATCGCGTAGATTAGAAATATTTGGGGGTAGTCAGAAAACACCAATTGTATTAAAAACAGTAATACGTAAACACATTATAGTAATTATTAATTAAACATGTGATGAAAACTAAATTTGCTAGTGCGCTAAATTCCCGGTAAGGTTTTTTACTTTACCGTATTTTCATATAATGCAATAAACTATAATTCCTTATAAAATAAAACAATAACTTTGTAATCTATGTTGGTACTAGTTAATAGTTATCAAAACGAACTACTCATATGATAGATATATTTGTAAATATTGTAAATTTAATAATGCAAATTTAAATAAAACAATAGATACAAGGACAAATTGTTATCATAATATCGTATATAAAAAACCATATACATGCGACCTTAAAAAAAAATAATATGAGATATTGTTGAAAATAACATAGACAAACATTAACATACAACAATTTTAAAATAATTTTAAACAATTTTAACAATTATCAATTTGTTTGATTATTGATACTCAACATATCTGTTCTTGATCAATATAATTAAGACAAAGACTATGAGAAACAAACATTATTTACGCGATATTGTAATAGTTGATCATATTATATTTTTAATCACAAGAAACCGGACAATTTAAGAAAATATGACCTTATTAAAGTAGATTAAATGACACATGATGTATATCATTTTTTTTTTTTTTTATATTGAAATTATTAATAATTTCTACTTCGACATCTGAGGCCATTAGCAGCATGTATATCATTTTATTTTTGATATTTGATACATAATTTATTTTAAGATTTACTATTGTATTAGATATTCATTAATATTTCTGCATAACAGTTTATTATACCCTTTTAAAAGGAAACGAAATATTTAATATTTTTTTAAATACTAAATTAAATCACACATACATATTAAAATCCAASTATTAATACAAATATATATCCTTAAATCAAAACGAATCACTCTTAAAACCAATGTAGAGATGATCTAAGTACTAATTACAAAAATTTTGTTTTGATATTTTGGTTTAAAAATGAATGATTTAAATTACAATGTTTTATTTTATTTTAGATTCCAAACTAAGCAAAAACTTAGCAAAGGTAGTTTTGGGATAGTTGGAGACATATTTCTATACCAGATRGAAAAGTGAGGAGGGAGTAAGCCCCAATGTTTGAATTTAAGATTGAATATGCAAGTCCTAAGAATAGAAATTAAGTCAGACCATGACATTTTTTACTTGAAGTGCATCTGTGGAAGGTAGAGGAATTGCATTTTCTATGGCATATTGTTATAAATAATAAACTTAGTTGAATTTATTTTGGTGTAATTTTCAGTTTTAGCAATACTGTTTACATAAAAAATTAATTCTATCATAATATGCTATATTAAGTATTTTAAGTATTTTAACATTAAACTAAAATTGTATTAAGCACTTTCGAATTGAAAATATAATACTACCAATATTGGGATATCGCTGTTTTTGAAGTAAATATTTAAAAATAATTTCATTGACTTACAAATAGTCAATAATAAACAGTCAGTTCAGAAATTAAAGTAAGTAATTCAAATTTGAACTCAAAAGCGGGTGTTACGACTAAAAAATCTATTTTGTTTTGCATGCAACAAAAACCATGCTACTCAAGGCCATTCATTCGAAATATTTCGTGTTCCTTTTATCATTGAACACACTGTATATTAATATTTCAACACTGTACAGTCTAAATTAAATAAAGTCAAACTTCGAATCGGGAATGTTACTGTTACGAGTATGATTTTGAAGTAAAACAATAAATTATACGACATTCTCAAAACAATKATTATTTCTTACTAGAGCTTAGCTAATTAAAAGTAAAATCCAAATAATCGTACATCTAAAGAAAATTTGGAAAAAAATTATAAAAGTTTACTACACAGCTTTTAGTCACAAAACACCACATGTTTTTTTCTCGAAACTGTCTGAACAAACATTTTAATAGTAAACAGAAAAAACACCTATTATTACTTGTTATTCGAGTACATTGTACAATATACTAAATATATTAAATAAAGTAAGAATTAAAAAATAATAATTTTTATTTTATAATCTGGTATAAAAAAAAATAGTAATATTTGAGAAAAAGAATAAACCAAAATTAAAAATATCAGTCAAAGATGTTGCTATCGACAGCGCATATCTAAATCAAAAAACATTGTATCTTTCAAAACTGATTTCTTCACCAAAGCAACGTATTTATTATTGCTAATATTAGGGCTTAAAATGTACCTATATCAAAAAATATGYATGCTTAACTGCAATGTGAACTAGGAAATAATATTTTTTGGGAGTGGAAGAAACCTTAATTACGTTACGTCGTGTAACGATAATATGTTTCTACTAGTTTTTAAT